ACCCTGAACTACTTCGAAGACCAGTGATTTAAATGTTTAGTCAAGGACGAAATTGTAAGAAGAAATTCTTGTTAATTATCCTGTGACGTATCTCGCAAATACATAAAGTGACCGAATCTAACGTTTCATCATTAAATTCTCTTCGGACTCATAAGAGAATAAATCTATTTAAAAAGTAACGAAGATAGAACCGACCGGTCGGCGAGATGTGAATATATTTCCCAGGTGGAAGTCTTTAGTTTCACTTGAGTAATTTCCGTCGCGAGGAAACTACTGAAATAGTCTCATCGGATGTAAGTTCTCACCGGATGTGAAACAACTCGAACGCGTTATGATGTACCATGAAGCCGGGGCTCTGACGACAGCGTACGCACCCTACGACGCGATAGCATCTGATGGATCCTAAATGACATCGGTTAGGTTCGGCGTTATCGTCAGCGACATCGTCGAGGGCGTCTATTTGTATCGCAACGGACTCGACGTCCCACGCGAACTAGCGAGCCAGCTAAAAAAGACCGGCGTTATGTCATTATCGGTGAACGATGACGGAAAGCCATGTGAGGCGTAGCCGCGTATGAAGCGGGCGTTAATGGACCGTGAGCGGAGTGTAGGACTGGCACGATCGAGTAGCTCCGTTAATAACGGCGAAGACGTTTTCGCGCGGAGAAGGGGTGGGACTTTAAAAAAAGCACGGACACCCCTCGCCGAGACACATTCTTCCACGGCCGTTTCGTGAATGAATCATCCACGTCCATGCGTTGTCGTACGTCAGTTTTGACGCGCGGGCGTGATTATAAAGGATTATTCGCGGTTACTCATCGTTAGGTCGGTGATCAGTTATCAGCGTCGACGTTGACGCTGTTCGTGTCATCCGGTTGATGAAAAAAGTTCGCAGCTACGGGTACCGCAGTGTGAAGTTACAAGGAAAGTAGCGAGTGCACTGTGAAGTTCGCGCGACGGCGTGCCACAACGGGTACGTAGCTGTCGAGAAGACGAGAGAGGAAGGGAGAGAGGGGGCGAGAATCGGTTCTGAAAGCGGAGTTTCGAGCTATCAGAGAATTAGATTCCCTGGGAACTTATCGGCCATCTCGGGCAACTTGCTATCCTGGAGTTAAAGACGGAGATATCCGAGCAGGGGACTTGCCAGGACTACTCGTCCTTCGTTCGGACGCATAAAGTCCCAGGATGAAGGGGATGCTTCTAGTAATGAGCACGATGGTTTGGTTTGTCGCGGCGGAAGTTTTCCTTGGCGACGTCGACGAGCCGAGTAAGTGATTCAAACTTCTGATTCCTTGTTCGACTACATTCGCTCGAGCATAATAGTTAAATTACGACGGATCCATTAGGTTTTCGGGTATAGATTAGCCGATTTAGCTTCACATTATTAAATGTTTCAGATCAAAAGTGAACTGCGAATCGCGATTTTTAAATATAAAATGGAATAATGCAATATGTAATTAATTATTTTAATGTTGTACCTTCTATATTAATGTACGGGTAGAATTTATTGGCATTATCGTATATTTTTAATTAGATGATACATCGATGTCTCTTTCCGTCAATTTTCACATCAATCACAAAACGTTATTCTCATTTAAGGCTACTAAACATTGGTTTTGATGGAATAAGCGCAGGAATCATTATCATTGATGGAATAAATGTTGGAATCTGGAATGTGGAATTAAAATTCGTCGGGTGTCGAGTCCAACAATACGGCTTCGCCGGCAGTCGTTTCTCGTCGCCGGCGATTCTGAGTCGACGTGACGGTTCGTCCATGGCACGTGGAACGCGCGGATCGTTGCAATTACGGTACTAATTAATGCCGAAAGACAACCAGCCGCGGTATCAGTCGTCCATAATAACGCTGTTGACAACATCATAATCGTTATTAAGCATTTATGGCTCGTGACGAGGCTGACGCGGCCGCGACGCGCACAGAAATTAGGGTGGACGGGATCGACGGACGCGACGGGGTTGGACCGTAGAAAAAAAGAAGATCGTGGAGGGGGCCGCATTAATTTCAACGCGTCCCATGGTAGCCAGGACGATATACGTGGACAGTATGGTGAATTTGGCTGTCAATAGTTGTTTTGCGGCCGGCACAACCTCGGTTTCCGTGCTCTACGACATCGGACGGGACCGCAGCCCGTTTATTTAATCGATGCATTATGCAAATTGACATAACGGTTCCACTTCGGATGCAGTAATCGACCGCCATCTCTTGACTGATTCACAACGGGACAATGTGTGTACGCTGAATAATTGGCAGTACCGTGTTGCGGCACCGAAATCAAAGCTGCCACCGCACTTCCTTTCCGTATCATCGGAACGTCGATTTCGTGATATACTATTTCACGATTTTCTTATACTCAACTTGAAATTGTTAATCGTAATGAGGAGCGTGAGTTTTCATACTACTCTTTTCCTAATTGCAATTATTTATCAACTTCCCTTCCTTATCTTATTTTATAGTTGTGCCGTTTTCAAGTTGCAGATGTACGCGAAATTTTCGTTAAGTTATAACATGAATTAAGTGATAGATTGCAAAGGTATAATTAATCCGAGTAACGAGGGTAATGAGTGAAATTTAGAGGAGTTGCGCGTGTATTAAACAGTGTTCACCGACACGAATAGCCGTTAGAGGCGGTTAAACGCATACACTCGGTTTAAATTTAATTTTAATTTAATACTAATTAGTGTATTATACATCGAGAGGCTCCAAGTTCACTCTTTGAGAGTGCTTCAACACAAATTGCACGAAAATTGACACGTAAGAGAGCGAATAATTTCTCACTCGTCGAGTTCGCTTCGCGTCTTTCACGCTCTGGCACTGTTATACGCAAATTCGATAGAAGTGGAAATGAAACTTGAGCATTCCCCATGCACTCGCAATTTCTACAAAAACGTTATATTGCATATTGTTTGTTGTCGAAACGAATACGTTCCCTGAAAACGCGCATATAAAATTATTACATGCATTTTAATTTCCACCACACGCGCATCTGCCTATGTTCGATCTTACTATGTTCGATCTTATTAAACGCGAAACAAGAGGTAGTCCACTAAATTCTATCAGATTTCATTTATAAATGATTTGTTATTTTTTCAATTAGTAATCTGAACCATAGAACAAAGATTGTCGCTCATCAAAGTGAACTGGAATATAATGTTTCTCATCCAATTGAGAATATTTTAACAAGATTTATTTTTTAAATAATTGCGGAGTATAACGAGTTGGAAAATTATACTCGATTTCATTAAACCCAATCGTTTTACTTCTATAAAGAAATCATTTCAATTGTCTACTTTTAAATCCATACATTGACAGAATTAGGAGTACTACTCCACGAAAGATTGTAGTTCCACGCGATGATTCTTTCGCGGAATAATTTCGCGTTTCGTTGTAGCTGGAATAGAAAGGCACGTAGCATTCGTTTATCGTAGTAGAAAAATTATGGCAGAAATATGTAACACGACGAGGCAGCGGAGCCATCCGTTCATCGCGTGTGTGTACGAGGCTTGAGGTCGGACTAGTTAAATAGCATTCCTGCTTGCCTTCCACCTGTGGACGGGAAATTACAATAAATTCACTGAATTACAGCGCCCTGAGAGGCTTCGTGAATAACCCATAATCGCTCAAAAATTCGATGTTAATGCAGTTCGATCGCGCGACACAGCCGACAGTCAGGCTCGACGTACCTACGGACATTTCGTGATATGTATGTATGTGTATGTGTTATACGGCCGTTTCTTCTCGCTGAAAACTGCTCGAATAATTTTCAACACGCGAGCCACGTATACGCGGCTCATTAGAATATTTCGTTATAAATTACGCGGTAACACTGCGCGGTTCTACTATTATTACGATACGCGGCTATTTTGTTCGACCCTCGTGCTTGATGAAAGCATCACCGTCATTGTGATTCAGAGAATGATCTACACGTAAAACATTACATTCGCCTAAAATACACATCTAATAATACGGAGAAAGTAATACCGTTCTTCAGCGAACAACAGTTTTTTCTTATTTTTCGTTCTTCGTTTTCATAATCTGGACGTGTAATATAATTTTGTGGAAAACGAATAGAAGAGAGTTTGAAATTTGTAATAAGAGATTTTGTTTAATGCATAGATTATTACGCTTTTAATGGAGAAATGTTAATTAGCATAATTTTTTTTTACGTAGTTCCTTTGACAAAAATATATTTTTCTGAATAAAATATACCACCAATGAAAGTCGCCTATAAACACTGACTTTCTAAACGGTGCGGTGGTGCAAAAAAATTTAACAAAAGAATTATTTTTTTTTACTATTGTTTCCAGTTCTATTATTCTTATTCATCCGCTTTTTTATTTCCTGTCATTCTTGCTTTTACTTCATCATCTTCGATATTCCTAAGGTCCTTACGAGGCATTTATACATTAATTACATAGTACATAATTAAACGATAATTTTAATGAATAAATTTAAATAGGTAATACGTTCCTTGGCTGTACATTCTAATCTATTTTGCCGGTGACACCCTCTCTGCAGTTTTGTTACGTAGCGTCATACATTTGAAAAAAGCCTGCATTTTTTGTGCAGCATCGCGTGATTTTTCGATGTATCACGAGACACGGATGTACGAATCGCGAAATTCCGGGGGACGTACAAATGGTGTCATCGATCGCTGTTACGTGATTTATGACGTTCGTTTTCGTGTGATCATTTTGTATCGCGTTTTTTACCCATCTTTCTTCGGATTTCTCGCGATCGATAAACACAGTCTGCGGTATTCCCAGTACGAAATTTTTTTTAACCAGAAACCAAAAGCTTTGCGTAGTATGCAGTTAAAACGAAATCCATACTGTGTCATACGAGTACTTATCATCTGAGCGCATTATAAATACAATAAAATGTTTCTATTCATATGTAACAGTAATTATAATATTTTAAAGAAAAGAGATAAAAATGGAGTAACAGTAAGCATTGTAGCGGGAATACATTATCAGTGTTAGAACAAATTTTTCTGGTTCTGATGGAAGCAGCACAGCGTCATCAGCAACTTTTTTAATAACCGGCCAGGTCTGTCGACAAGGACGAGTAGCCTGGGACACTTAATTCTTTAATCACCTACTACAAGAGCTTTCTAACAGCATCCATCGTTGCAGGCGTTATTAATTTGCAGACTACGCGAAGAAAGTGTTGGAAACGAGAGTCGCGTCGGACGGGTCTATAGGAATAGCGGGGGTGGGGTATCGCCCCGTAAATCAGAACTGGAATATAATGTTTCTCATCCAATTGAGAATATTTTAACAAGATTTATTTTTTAAATAATTGCGGAGTATAACGAGTTGGAAAATTATACTCGATTTCATTAAACCCAATCGTTTTACTTCTATAAAGAAATCATTTCAATTGTCTACTTTTAAATCCATACATTGACAGAATTAGGAGTACTACTCCACGAAAGATTGTAGTTCCACGCGATGATTCTTTCGCGGAATAATTTCGCGTTTCGTTGTAGCTGGAATAGAAAGGCACGTAGCATTCGTTTATCGTAGTAGAAAAATTATGGCAGAAATATGTAACACGACGAGGCAGCGGAGCCATCCGTTCATCGCGTGTGTGTACGAGGCTTGAGGTCGGACTAGTTAAATAGCATTCCTGCTTGCCTTCCACCTGTGGACGGGAAATTACAATAAATTCACTGAATTACAGCGCCCTGAGAGGCTTCGTGAATAACCCATAATCGCTCAAAAATTCGATGTTAATGCAGTTCGATCGCGCGACACAGCCGACAGTCAGGCTCGACGTACCTACGGACATTTCGTGATATGTATGTATGTGTATGTGTTATACGGCCGTTTCTTCTCGCTGAAAACTGCTCGAATAATTTTCAACACGCGAGCCACGTATACGCGGCTCATTAGAATATTTCGTTATAAATTACGCGGTAACACTGCGCGGTTCTACTATTATTACGATACGCGGCTATTTTGTTCGACCCTCGTGCTTGATGAAAGCATCACCGTCATTGTGATTCAGAGAATGATCTACACGTAAAACATTACATTCGCCTAAAATACACATCTAATAATACGGAGAAAGTAATACCGTTCTTCAGCGAACAACAGTTTTTTCTTATTTTTCGTTCTTCGTTTTCATAATCTGGACGTGTAATATAATTTTGTGGAAAACGAATAGAAGAGAGTTTGAAATTTGTAATAAGAGATTTTGTTTAATGCATAGATTATTACGCTTTTAATGGAGAAATGTTAATTAGCATAATTTTTTTTTACGTAGTTCCTTTGACAAAAATATATTTTTCTGAATAAAATATACCACCAATGAAAGTCGCCTATAAACACTGACTTTCTAAACGGTGCGGTGGTGCAAAAAAATTTAACAAAAGAATTATTTTTTTTTACTATTGTTTCCAGTCCCATTATTCTTATTCATCCGCTTTTTTATTTCCTGTCATTCTTGCTTTTACTTCATCATCTTCGATATTCCTAAGGTCCTTACGAGGCATTTATACATTAATTACATAGTACATAATTAAACGATAATTTTAATGAATAAATTTAAATAGGTAATACGTTCCTTGGCTGTACATTCTAATCTATTTTGCCGGTGACACCCTCTCTGCAGTTTTGTTACGTAGCGTCATACATTTGAAAAAAGCCTGCATTTTTTGTGCAGCATCGCGTGATTTTTCGATGTATCACGAGACACGGATGTACGAATCGCGAAATTCCGGGGGACGTACAAATGGTGTCATCGATCGCTGTTACGTGATTTATGACGTTCGTTTTCGTGTGATCATTTTGTATCGCGTTTTTTACCCATCTTTCTTCGGATTTCTCGCGATCGATAAACACAGTCTGCGGTATTCCCAGTACGAAATTTTTTTTAACCAGAAACCAAAAGCTTTGCGTAGTATGCAGTTAAAACGAAATCCATACTGTGTCATACGAGTACTTATCATCTGAGCGCATTATAAATACAATAAAATGTTTCTATTCATATGTAACAGTAATTATAATATTTTAAAGAAAAGAGATAAAAATGGAGTAACAGTAAGCATTGTAGCGGGAATACATTATCAGTGTTAGAACAAATTTTTCTGGTTCTGATGGAAGCAGCACAGCGTCATCAGCAACTTTTTTAATAACCGGCCAGGTCTGTCGACAAGGACGAGTAGCCTGGGACACTTAATTCTTTAATCACCTACTACAAGAGCTTTCTAACAGCATCCATCGTTGCAGGCGTTATTAATTTGCAGACTACGCGAAGAAAGTGTTGGAAACGAGAGTCGCGTCGGACGGGTCTATAGGAATAGCGGGGGTGGGGTATCGCCCCGTAAATCATTCCGCGGGATTTATTATCAAGGATCGTCGCGAGAATAGCTAACGGCAGAGCGAACATAAAAAACAAAATAAAAATAAAGATAAAAATAAAAAGAGTGACGGGAAACCTGGCAAACAGAAATAAAAAGGGGAGAGAACGAATTCGCTCAAGTAGAAGACACCGATCCGGATAACGAATGTGGCGAGTCGAAAAGCAACGAAAAAATGGTGGAACTATTTGCTGAAAAACGACGAGCCGAGCGCGAGAAAAACACGGGAACCCTCGGCCACTCGGTTTCCCGATGCTCGGTTCGAGTTCAAACGAACGACCAAGTGCGGAACTCGAACTTTCTGCGAGGAGCGCGCCGCGGCGAATGAAAATTTCCCGCAAACTGCGAGTAATGTGTTCGCTCGTACGATTTTCACCGGTCGTATGTCACTCCGTTGCCGTTACCAACGTTTTCGTATCGATTCGCAACTTCACTCTGCTGTAAACTATCATTTCACTTATTTATCGGACTATCGGGAGGACAATACTTCAAGCGCTAATTTTCTGTCCCGAGCTGAGCATTATTAATTAATTTTTAAATTTAGCCTTCGCAGGAAGATACATGGTCGATGATCATTATTCAATTCTGACAACATTTTTGATAAACTTCTATTATTAAACTATAAAACTGTCCTTCATTAGGAAGTACCAAAAACCGTATTGGCCAATACGATATTTCACAGAAATTAGACATTCCGAGGTAAGCTTTAAATCCCGCTAGTGTCGAAGCGCGATAGTACAAAGAAAAGTTTATACTTGACACATTTTTCGCGTGATACGGATATTTCGGTAGATAATCAGCTGGAAGTATTTAAACGAGACACTTTGAACACGCGCTGTGTGTATCGCTTGCAAACCACGCAACACTGATTTCCCCTATCGTTGGACGCTCGTCTCACCCTGCGGTATAGTAGCGGGTGCCGATTATCGGATGGATCACACCGCACCGGGCCGGACCGACGCGACGCGGCGTGTTTATCGCGTGGCTATAATTCCGTCCACGGTGAAGAGAGTAAAGAGATTTGCATATAAAACAAGCAATTTACTCGGTTACCATGGAACGCGGCGGGGAGACCATTACTCCTGCTTTGAAGGATAATGGAATAAAGCGGTCGCCTTGTGTTCGTTTTACATCGTTATACTGGTTATCGGGAATTTGCTTTGATTATGCGATGGAAACGCATGGTAATTTCGGCGGCACTATTAATCGGTAGGGGCTAATGGATAGACAGAGCACCGTCCTCCGTCGCTTTCGATATTTAATTTCATATCGCGATGTTCGACCGACTAACCTGCCACCGGTAATCCTCTTTCCCGCGGTACGGATTTCCTGGAGCGAATCCCGCCACGTAAATCCAAATTGACCTGGTATGATCGTCCTGGGATTACTCAGGATGATTGCCAGATAATGATCATTGTAACATATCTTGAAAAACAATTCCAATTTGAGATCAGAAAGCAATTCCCGTATCATACTAATTCAATAAAGTCTTGAAACAATTAAGGAAATTGAGGTCTCTAGAAATAACTTACGTTAATGTCACTCGAGCGATTACTAAATTTTCTTCTCTCTTTGCTTTTTGGAAAATCGTAAGGATTATAAAAATTCCATCTAAAGTACGCTATTACACTTCTATTAAAAATTTAATACAGAAATTGCGTTCTTTGAAACCGCAATGTTTTGCATATGCAGTTATAAAATTACACACGAGGTAAACAGAATGCACATTGAACTTTTCAAATAAGGTTCAATGTATTTTGGGCAAAATTCAAGAGAAACGTTGCGCTCGCCTGAAGGAAACAAGCGCGCATTCATCTCGCGAAAAAGCCCACTTTAGAAACTACGTTGTTAAACCGAGATGCAAAAATTTGCCAGGTAACGCTAGGACAAGAAGGGAAAGAAAAAAATGAAAATATAAATTCTCATTAATTTAAGCCGCTTGTAGCAACACGTTCGCGTATTCCGCCATTCTGCTGCAAAGTGCGCGACAAAAGAAACTAAATAGGATGTAGTCAGTATACAACGCATCCAGCTTGTTTTTAACATCTTACAAAT